AAGAATTTTATAAAAGGTTCCTTAAAATATCAACTCATCTCTGATCAATATTCACAGGAAATTATCTGCTCAAAAGTCACAGTTTTACACAGTTATTGTTATTATTATCTGGGTTCATTGTACAGTTTATCAGCTGTTCCTCTACTGTTGTTGTTGTTGAATATGAAATATCTATAAAAATATAGTCAGTTTATTCACTGATAGAAAAGGTTTCCTTTAAGATAAAAGGTTGGGAGCCGCTGATATACACTTATGTTACAGTAAATTGACTTTTTTACTGTATTCTTTGTTTAGTTTATGCACTTTTAATGTTTTATACTGTCTTAATATTCCTTTAAAAAAGTCCAAGATGTTGATCTTAATGTAGGAGGATGAATGTTTTTTCCTTCCTCAACTTCTAAAAGTGTGAATATTTCCAACACACAAACACATGTTACACATCCATGTGGAAAAACACACACACACACACAGAAGCAGGGCACAGGGACAACATGTTACTCCAGATCTTTCCATTCCCGAAATAACAAGGTCACACCTGTACTGTTCTGACATCACAAACAACAGCGATAAGAAGTCCTTCACTGCTCCCTTCCTGTGTTACTTCATCGCCGCTGCACTTTGACCCCGCCGTCCGACGCTGTAACAGGAAAACATTCACATCACATACAAACTGTATGTAAACAGTGAAGATATTTACAGTGTAAAACAATGCAATGAGCTATAAATACAGGTGAACTCTGCTATATAAAAATAATCAGGCTTACATTTACAGCAGAGTGCTGTTATTATTGGATTTTTATTATTTTAATCTGAATGTTAAAAGTTATAGAACTGTAATAAAAGTCATCTGTGAAATTACAGTAATTATTGCTGTTTACACTGATAAAAACTTTATTTGGACAGTTTACCAATGCTTTTACACTGATAAACAACATTTATTCAACTTTTCTGTTGTGAAAACTTCCAGAATTATACAAAATATCTGTCAATTAACAAACAAATCCATGTAAAGTTACACAACAAATACTTTTTACTGTTAATTGTCACTAATTTGACATAAATTTATAAATGTACAGTATTAAACTTGAATTTAACAGTTTAATTTGATAATATAAACTGTTAATATCTGTGAAATAATGTGAAAAAAGGATGTTTTCTTTAAATAAGCAGTAAATTTATGATTATTTTTAAGTTAATTTTTCATGTTATTTTACAATAGACATTAAGACAAAATGTCCGTGCTGTCAGAACTTTCTATAGAGAAAGAAATCAAACATTTTAGGCTGCATCAATCCTTAAATCCCCTCTCTTTAGATCAGGGGAGCTTGTGGACCCTGTTCCTGCAATTCCTGAATATTCTGTAGAGGTCGCGGCTCTAAAAAGGTTGTTTGTGCCCTGCTGATAGACGCTGAAGTCACATCTTCCTCATTAGAAATCAGTAATGACACACACAAGGTGCTCAGTACTCTGTGTGTGTGTGTGTGTGTGTGTGTGTGGTTGTCGTACAAAATGTCCCCCTTACCCACATAATAAGCGGATCAGTGTTACACATTCATCACAACAATGCACCTTCTTTCTGCTTTACATAATCTGGCTAATGTTTACCGTCCGTGTTACACAATCCTGTCCTCTCTGAGCACCGCGGGGGTCAACGACCTCACGTCGTTGTCGCTGCCAAGTAGGCTGAATAACCTCGTAGCGTGTTTGCTCGGGTACAATGAGAAAATATCTGCTGTCTGTGGGCTTTAAATGAGACTTTAGAAGAGTAAAAGTCACACCTCAAAACAAGAAACAACATTTCTGCCAATGTGACGGGGAAAAGGGATTCTGTGAGTCAGTATAATTGTTAAAATAGTGAGAAATGTTCTCATTTTTACTCAAATTTAAGCTACTTTGTCATAATTTTAAGATATTAAGTAAAGATATTGAGACATTTTCTCATTATAATGACTTACAGGATCCATACTAGAAGCTCTGTGAGCGGTGCTTTGAGATAAATGCTCCCCCTCCAGTCAGAAATCAGTTTATCTCGTTCCTACGGTGAGATGTTTGATACTCGAAGGATGTTTTCACATCTTTCATCATCTTCTGAAAGTTTCTCATTGCTCGATTCATTTTGTTGTGTTTAAGGTGTGTGTGTGTTTGTGTGTGTTTGCTGAATAATCCCTTTAAAAACACCATGTTAGATCATCAGTTGGTCTCACATCATCACGGGATTAAAAACATCTTTCAGTCAGGAGATATTGCTACGATTTAACAAAAGTGCCCAAAATAATAATAATTCTTAAAGAAACAGGGGCCAGAATATAACCCTGATACTGGGCCTAAATGCTTAATGATTGATAATGTAAAATTAAACAATGTACCTGATCACAAGCCTTTTCATGTAGATGTGAGCAGTGAGAGCTGAAAATGTCCCAGTATGAAGTATTCTCTCAGACATTACGAGGAAACACAGAAAAAGATGAGTTGTTTGACTGTGTTGATCCATTTAGGGTGCGTTCAGAGGCGTTAACGCGGTACAGAGGGCTGCAGTGGTGGACGCAAGTAAGGTTAGACAATGAAATACCATCCAGGAGGTCCAGTTGGAGTAACAGAGTAATGATTTAAAGGCTTCACAGACAGCAGAACTCTGTAGAACAGTTAATAATACTCATTAAAACAGGATTTTCCTATGTTACAGTAACACTAAAAACATTACAAAGACAATGTGTTTACATTAAAGTGAACGCAGCAACAAGTGACATCAGATTATAAGAGACAAAGATCAACAATCTGACCAACCCGTCACTGACACACCAAACCGACGGCAAAGAACTGGCGCCAAAAAGCGACACGAGAGCGGCCAACCAGCGCGTACGTTCGGCGCCAGCGCGAGAGGCAATAACTCTCGGTACCAGCAGGTGGCGGTAGTCTGCATTCCTCGGAGACCTAAGAGCCGCGCGGTGGATGGAGGTCTCGCTACAATCCCGGGACCCGCGGATCATTTTCTTGAAGTCAGAACCCGAGATTCGACAAAGAAGACATATTATATACGTAATAAACGAACACATCAACCGCAGGAAGCAGATTATTTCCTGTCAATGTTGATCAGAGACGAGTTTTCCTGATATTTGGAGGAACTTTTGTCTGTTTTTTTAAACATTTCCTTCCCAGAAACAAAAACAGATGCTGACTTATAAGTTTTCTTACACGCCTTCATATCAAGAAGGCCTCGCGACCGCTCAGCAAGTCCTCTTTGGACAGATTCACAGTTTGATCTTTAATGTTTAAGATAAGATAAGAGAGATTTTATTTGTCACATGCAGTTATACAGTACAATGCACAGTGAAATGCTTTGAATATTGTTCTCTGTTCTCTTATGCAAAACTGCAAATGAATAGTTTTCTACTTTCTTTATCATAAAATAGTTTAAAAAACAGGTCGTTATAAACATTTAATTATTATATTTCATAACACTAAATTGTTTGTTTTTATTCTGTTTAACATCTCAAACTGTTCATTTTAATGTATTTATTTTTCTCTTTTTCCCTCAAACACCAAAAAAACACAAAAAAAAAAACACTGCACCTACTGTTACTTTACTCACATAGCTGCTTCAGTACTGTAAATGTTGTGTGTATATTCGAGCTTACCCCCCTTTAAGTTTTACACTTGAGATTAAGTCTATATTTAATATGTTGATATTTACAGTCTATATTTAATATGTTATATTACAGTCTATATTTTATTTATTTTTCTTAGTTATATTTACACTTTTTTCTTACCTGTGTGTTCTGTGCATCCACTGCTGTTTTACTGTAGTTAGTATTTTTGTTTTCTTTTACTGGCTGCAGGTA